TGGATTTGTTCAGATTTAGTGCATATATTAAACATAATATAAGCTTGATGCATACCAATTTTTCTTCAGATCAAGTTCAAAATGGCCAACTGGCGGCCATTTTGTTTTAAAGAATTTAGTTTTCGATCCATATCTCGGACATGCCTGGACAGATCAAGTTCAAACTTCACATACACATCATACATTATATCATACATATGCCTGTGCATTTGGGCCAGTCCTTTTAAGGTCAAACATTTACAAAAATTGCACATTTTCACCATACTGGAACTGAATCTTAGTCATGCGTGGGCAAATTTAGTTTAAATTTTTTTTTGGATTGTGTTGAAAATGGCTGACTGGTGGCTATTTTGTTTTACTGTATGCAGTTCAACATCCATATTGTTGCTGCTTTGAATGTATATGTCACTCAAATATGAACGGAACGGGGACGTGTCATTGACAATGACTTGTCTAAATGATAAAAATGTGAATTTAAAACCCACTGAATATGCCTAAAATGCTTAATCAGTGAAATTTAAACCCAGTGAAAATTAGTCATTTTACAGTATGTGTAAATGCTCTAATAAAAGCTACACCCCCCTCTGTTGCATTGTACCATTTAAATAGAAGCCACGGTTTCTAATACAGATTTTTAAAGTAATTGCTTCTTGTTGGTAGAATATTTGCATAATAATTTGCATAATTAGGCTATGATCATAGACTTGATTGAAACAAAGACAAAAGAGAACTGGCATTGTCTGAGATGGATAAAATTATATGTTTAAATCAGGAACACAACCTCACATATTGTACTGTTAAATAGTTGATTATACTTTCATTTCTTTCTTTTCCACAAACATTGTCAAATCGATGTAAAACTACATGGGGCTGGCAGGATGAGGATGAGTTTCTTCGAAAAACACTTCATCTTTGTCATCAGAAGTCTTTCAAAATCAAATTGACATTGTCATAAACAACATACAGTTCACAGCTTATCTTAATCTCTTATTAACACTTAACGCACAGACATAGCAAAATGAGTAGGAAAAACAAGGTGTCTGTGTTGATGTGTTAGGTAATTGAAATTAAGGTTAGAAAAAAAATGCTTGTGATACAACATTAAAGCTATATAAGTTTACATACACTACCGGTACAAATCAAGAACACAAATATCACATTATGGGCTACTAGTAGGCATAGATATCTGAACCTCTTTATGATAATTCAGCACATATTGTCTACATCCACTCCTCCTCAAAATACCAATTACGGATAAGTTTCTTCTGGAAAGTTTTCATCAGTTTCTTCATCTTTATATTGTGTGTCTGTGTCGCAGGGAATATGAGTATGTGAATCCATTCGCTTATTTTGCCATCTTTTGTATGCGAGTTGAGTAAACAGTAGAGATCCGGAGAGAATCAGTGAACTTCCAGCCAATACAAAAGACAGATTATAGTTCTCAGTGATGTCGTATATCCATCCTATGAAAAAATAATTAATTGAATTAAATGAAAATGCAGTGTAAGGTATGTTACACATCTCCTGCTTACTCAGTTATTTCCCCATTTATATAGGTTATCTATGAAAGATTTAATGAAATGTTCTATTGCTACATAATCGATGCAGTGATGGATAGATGCCACTAATTATTAAACATTTTTTAAAGCACTACGAATTTGTAATATTTTGCTGAGTGAAACATCCAAATCAATAATTGACAAAAAACAAATAAAAATCAGGAAGTGCCTGAATTTGTGAACGTATCAGCACTCGTTGTATGTTCCAATTGTTCCTAATATTAGGTTACACTGTGTTGTTTCAGGCTATCACATTCATAGATTTTCTTTTATTTACATTGGATGCAGAAGCACTATAGTATGCGATGGAAATAGAATACTGTCACGCAAGTGTTCACACAGTGCAAAACGTGTTTGTTGTCCTTTTGGCTTATAAATCTCTCAATAAATTATTACAACAAGCAGGAAAAAGATGTATAATACTAATAAAGTTATCACGAGGATACCGCAAAGTTAGCATTCAGGCAGTACAGATTGCACCACCAATATGTTTCTGTCGATACAATGACCATACTGGCTTCAGCATTTTTTTGGTATTCTAATTATAAGCTCATATCATCAAGCACTACATTTAACATATGTTTAGTAAGATCTGTGACACGGGTGAAATACATTGTTTGGACCAAATTCTGCACGATAAAACTTCTGCCATTCATCTGGGATTTTGTTTTGAAATTCATCCATCGAAAAACATATCATAGTGGATGTCTGTGTGTTACAACTAATGGAATTTTCAAATGTAATCATAAAAATAAAATTTGAACCCCAAGAGAGACTGCATCAAAGACTGCACTTGCCTGTCCGTGTATTCTCTAGTGTATTACATGTAGATTAGAGTAACATTTTGTCTTGTTGTGAAACAGTTATGTTAAAAAAAAAGTTATGCACCAAAGAATTGTCTGATGACCCCCACATCTGCATTTTAATGGCAAGACTATTACTGAAAGTATTAACAAAATTTCATTTTCTTGTTCTCTCGATTATCATTTTTCTGGAAACTCTTTTCAATTTATTAGATAATTTATCTCAGATGCATTTGACACTTACCTGCTAAAGGAGGTCCAAGAGTATTCCCAATCCCACTGTGAAGTAGCGTCCAACCAAATGCAATCGACAGATGACTAACGCCTAAGCAATATTTCACAGAGACTGCACCCAGTGGAATACATATACCCATTGTGAATCCATACCATGCTGATATCGCACCAAAAATAATGTAGTTGCCACGAGTAACTGACACAAGAAGGAGTGATGCCCCAGCCAGTATGAAGGTACACCCGCTGACAAACATTGGGGTGTAGTGTCCTAAATCGACAAACCAACCATGTATAATACGTCCAATAAGTGATGTAGTTCCCATAATGGTCATTAAGATTGCTGCATCTAGTTTATTAATTCCATCGCTTACAGCCTTTGATATGAAGTGTACCGTGGTCACCTTATGTCCCAGACCCATGAAGAATGTTGACATGCACAATATACGTAACCAAGAACTTTCACAATAAAGTTTCACCCCTAATATCTCATATAGAGGTAACTTATTTTTTTCTGCTGATTGCTTTCCAGTTCTAATTATTTGTTTGTGTGTATCAATCTGTTCTGAACACTCAGCTTCCCCGGCTCCAATCTCATTTTGGCATCTTGAATTTATCTCATCATTTTTCTGTCTTAATTTTATAATGTATGGCTGCTCGGGTGAATATATTTCATTTTGCTGCTTTTTTTTCTCATTGAATTCCATTTTTTTGACTCTTATCTGAGGATTGGTTTTCATTCTTGGCTCTCTCAGCAACACACCACATACAACAATGTTCATGTTAATGGCAGATATCACAAGTATTGCTCCACGCCATCCATATTTGTTAATCAACAACTGGTATATGGGTGGGAATATTATCAGTCCAATACCGACTCCAGCGTAAACCAACCCGTTAGCTAAAGCATGGCGTTTATTAAAGTACTGGCCAACAATGACAATACTAGGACCATAAGCTAATCCAATTCCAAAACCTGGATGATGAAAAAAAAGTTTGAATTTAATTGTTTTTCATATTTTGCCTCTAAATTTGTTTATTATTTGTTGCTATGTTTGACATTGTCTTTAACGAAAATCCAAGTCTCTAATACATGCAGTACTATATGCCAAGTTACACAACATTTCACTGTGTTTTCATTCATTCGGTGTGAAAGAAAATAGAGTTTATGCACCTGTAAATGTATGAAAGTTTTAAAATTACCTCCAATGATACCATAGCTTACATAAAGGACATACACACTGTTCGCAAATGAGCTGAGAAGTAAGCCAATACTGGATATGATTCCACCAGTCACCACTACTACTCTGGTTCCAAACTTTTTATTCAAACTACTCACCAGAGGTGCTGGAAAAGTAAACAGTTTTCATATTAATTGATGTAATTAGCACAGCTAGCACATCACAAAAGAACAAAAATTACTGTAATTTTATTACCATTGATTCAAAAATAATGTGTTTTTGTAGACTTGAAGTAGTCAATATATTAATGGGTATAGCGACACATTTGTAACATTTTTACATCATTATTAGGTAATCCTGTCTTGTGCATCTCATGGAAAATCAGTAAGTAGTATGTAGAGGGGGAATCATATCCTGTGCATTGCTGAAAGAATCAGAAATTCTGAATTGCTCATAAAACAAAAACATGCAGATTTACCATATTAACAGTTAGAAAAATGTATATGTCTAGTCAGTAAATATCAGTTATATTCAATCAGCGACAGTCTTACAATTGAACGATAATTTTGGTTTCCTGGGAAAATGTTATGGATGCATAGAGCTGAAAACAGCCACTGGTGGCGCTGTACAGTACAGTTTGGAAATCTTTAGTGACAAAGGTAGACATATACTAGTAGTCTTAAGGAGCAGCTGCAGTTTATAAATCCGGTGACCAGTTTATTATAGTAGAAAGCATGTTCAATTTTCTAATAACCACAGCGTTGAGGTCAAGGCTGAAAATATATGTTTGCAGTGTTTCATAATAAATGCTTTATATTAATAATCATGAGTTATTAGCATACTGTGTACGTAGTGAACATGCTTTCAGATTTTTTTTATGTATTTCACAATACATGTTGGTTCAAAGTGTT